CTCCATGGTCCACTGGGAAAGGGTGCAGGCTGACGATACTCCAAATGGCAGTCTTGTATATTAGTATAAACCCTTACGGGTATTAATTGTAGCGTACTTCTGGGACTCCTCATCCAGTCGCAATTGCAAGTAGGCGTGGCTCATGTCCAGCTTTGTAAAGGGCAGCCCCCTGCTCCCCGCCAACTTTGTGTAAACGTCCTCTTTGTGAGGGAATCAGGTATTTATCCAGCTGTGAGAAATGGTTTACCATTTGTTTAAAATCCCCACAAAGGCGAACTGAGGCTTTACCAATGGTACAACTGGTGCTGCCCATTCTGCAAACTGCACTGGTTTGATGACCCCTTCACTGTCCAGCCTCCTGATTTCTGCCTCTACTTTTGCCCATGAGGCAAATGGCATTGGGCAGGCATTGCAAAATCTCAGAATTGTTTCCTGGTCAATATGTAAAGTGGCTTTGGCCCCTTTGATAGTCCCAAGCCCTTCCTGAAATACTCCTGGGTATTTCACCAGGACTTCACTGAGGCAACCATTTTATAGTCAAAAAATGTTAAGCCAATCAAGGTGAATCTTCCTCAACAAATTCTGTCCCAATAGACTTGGGCCTGAGCCTTTTACTATGATCATTGGCACCTCCTCCACAGCAACATGCAATACTGGAGCTCCCCAAGGATGTGTCCTCAGCCCCCTACTGTACTCCCCATACACCCACGAGAGTGTTACCAAAATCTGAATGAATGCCATTTACAAGTTTGCTGACGACACCACCACAGTAGGACAGATATCTGACAGCGATGAGTCAAAATGCTGAAATAAAGGACTTGGTGATGTGGTGCAATGAGAATGACCTCTCTCTCAATGTCAGCAAAACTAAAGAACTGATCATTGACTTCAGAAAGAAAGGAGGAGAACAAGCCCCCATCTACATCAGTGGAGCTGAGGTTGAGAGAGTGGAGAGTGTCAACTTCCTTGGTGTGATGATAACTGACAACCTGTTCTGGATTTCCCACGTAGATGCAACAGTCAAGAAGGCACAACAACACCTCTTCTTCCTCAGGTGGCTCAGGAAATTTGGCATGTCCATGAGGTCCCTCACCAACACCTACAGATGCACCCATTGAAAGCATACTGTCCAGGTGCACAACGGCCTGGTATGGGAGCTGCTCTGCCCAGGACTGTAAGAAACTACAGAAAGTGGTGTGCACAGCCCAGACCATCACAGAAGCCAACCTTCCATCCATGGACTCCATTTACATGGCTTGCTGCTGCGGAAAGGCTGCCAACATCATCAAAGACCCATCGCACCCTGGTAATGATCTCCTACAACCTTTTCCATCAGGCAGAAGATACAGAAGCCTGAACGCACACATGAGCAGGTTCAGGAAGTTTCTTCCTGGCCATTATTAGACTGATGAATGGACTCTCTCGCCCAAGTAATGCTGATCTTGCTAACATTGATCTCCTCCAGCACACACCTGTGCAATGTAACCTGTTTGCCTCTAAGTCTTTTTACAACCTCTGATCTGTGCATCCTTGCTTACTATGATCTGCCTGTACTGCTTGTAAACAGAGCTTTTCACTGCACCCCAGTACAAGTGACAGTACATCAATCAATCAATCAACTGCACCAACTGTTTCTCATAGGAGACCGGAACTGAAGTCGTATCCTTAATCTGCAATGGTTCCCCAGTGTGTGTTCTCAGTCTGGCTGAGGTCTTGTGCATACTCAAGGGTTGGAGTCCCAAGAGAATCTTGTTAAAGACAGGTTCTGCAACCACAGATACAGCTGGGCCGGTATTGGCCTCCATAGGAGCTGAGTGACCATTTAACCAAACATTAATTTTAATTGGTTCCAATTTGGATCTTGCTAAGCAATTTAATTGTTCCAACCCACAGGTAGGCGGACTTTACAGGGTGTGCACTCTCCTGGGTACCAGCCTTTGAATTCTCTTACTCAAGTCAGGCCTTGTAGGGATCCTTTGCCGTCTTGAGTCCACATACCGGCAGTAAATGCAATGGCTTGCCAGCCCAGAACCTGAAGAACTTTTTATCCACTTGGCCAAAGCTTGGCTTTGTTGTGGGGTTCTGCTGTGAGTTAGATTAGGGTCCCTCTGCTCAGGATATGGCCTGTGTGAGGCTCTGCGATTACCTATGCTCACGTGGTGTTCCCCAAGCTCAGTCGGACAGGTTAAGGAGTCCACTTCCATTGGGATGCTCCATAGTTCCCATGCTCCGCTTGCCGCATTTTCTAATGACAAATCCTAAAGGGTCATAGTGAACCGGATGGGTTTTTACAATGATAGTGGGAACTGCAGATGCTGGAGAATCTGAGATAACAAGGTGTAGAGCTGAATGAACACAGCAGGCCAAGCAGCATCAGAGGAGCAGGAAGGCTGACGTTTCGGGCCTAGACCCTTAGC